AAATAAGTCGGCAGCCCCCAACCTTTTGGCACCAGGGACTGGTTTTGTGGAGGTTTTTCCATAGATTGGAGGGGGTGTGGTTTTGTCTGTTGCCTGCATCCAGTGGATGCGACTTCGCTTGTCTGCCTGGCTTGGTTTCTGGCACGCCACGGCCTGATGCCAGTCCAGAGACCAAAGGTTGGTGACCCCTGTATTAAATCACCAAAATGTTTACTGTATCAGCTTACAACTTAGCTCCAGAAGCTAACTTTAGATAAAAAGCCAATCTGGCAATGTAGACACCATCTAATTTATTATGGCAGAAATTATTTTTTATACTTTCAGAGACAATAATGATTGGCCTGACAGATTAGCTAAAATGAAGAATATGTAGAGTTATATAATGAACAAACATTTGTCCAAAATGGTATTGCATGAGCAAAGGGTTGGACTAGAAGACCTCTAAGGTCCCTTCCAACTCGTTATTTTGTTCTGTTATTCTGAAACAAGACCCGAATTTGAACATAATCTGTAATAATGGCAGTGATACCAAAATGGTGACTCTTATGCTGTGACATAATACAAATGCCATTATACAAGATGACATCACAGTGTATCATTTACCTTTCTTGAGGTCCATGCAAACATTATAACTTCTGCTAAATTTCTATAAATCTTTTATTGTTCCAAGATCACTTTTAAACAACTTAGATAAAAAGCAAAGCTTCCTCTCATCTCCACACATTTAAAAAGCCTGCATGGAAATCCTTCATTCTCATCCAAAATGTAATTTTTATTCTTCTAGGTTTTCAGAAGGAAGAAATGATGCAGTTCTCACCAAGAACATCTACAATTAACTGAAAAGATGTGAAAACCTTTCTTGGCATAAAAACCATTCTAAGAGGACTATAAAGCAAGAATTTACAGTACACTGGCCATGCTAAACTTTTTTTTTTAAGGAAAGTGAAGACTGGCCAAAAATCCAAAAATGGATTGAGAAAAGTTATAGGGAGGGAACTTTTTCTGTAACTATGCTTTGCAAATGAAGAAACAAAGCATAGTACTTATTATCCAATTACCATATCTACATATAATATCAGAGTTTTAACTTTTGTCCAGCTTGTCAAGTCACCAAACAAAAACATTCTACTGAATTTAAAAACTTGACCAGGTTCACAATGAACAGATAAAAATAACAAATGTCTGATATATGAAAAATGGGATGGATGTAGAGCAGTTTCTGCAACTAGTGAAGGTGTCACTAAAATGACAAAACATATAGTATGACATCAAAACAAAAGTTCACTCTTTTATAACTGCTTCTATGAAATAGCTTTAAAGACCTTGTTTAAAGATATCAACAGCAAAGAAGATCACAATTTCTAAATATATTTCAAGTCTAGATTTTGAACTCAGTTACCAGTACGGAGTAAATAAAGAACAGAAGCAAAACCAGAGTATTTGCAATAATATCAGAATAGTCTTGATGGATTAGGCCAAGGTCCATTTTAGTCCTTTTATTTTACAATGTAGCCAAAGAAATATTTACATTAGGAGATGGAGACATATTCCCATCCAATTGCTGTTTCCCTGAAATTTGATTTAGAAGTATGTTGCATCCAAGATAACATGGTAACAAAATAGCATGGAGTATCAAGATTAATGTTCCCTTGAACAATCCTGTAATTTATCTAATCCCCTTTCAACCATTCCAATGCAACAACCATCAAGAACCGAGGTGGCGCAGTGGTTAGAGTGCAGTACTGCAGCTGACTGCTAGTTCAGCAGATCAAATCTCACCAGCTCAAGGTTGACTCAGCCTTCCATCCTTCAGAGGTGGGTAAAATGAGGACCCAGATTGTTGGGGGCAATATGCTATTTAGTATACTGTCTTTGGTGTAAGCCGCCCAGAGTCCTCGGAGAGTGGGCCGCATAGAAATATGACTAATAAATAAATAAATAAATAATCAGGTGATAATCATTTCTATATATTCTATGTAAAGCATTATCTTTTATTTATTCCAAATCTTCTTCCAATTAGTTCTAATTTTTGAGAATAAAAAGAAAAACTTCTATGTCATGCATGTTTTTAAAAACCAGGATCATGTTTCCACTTAGCTGTATGCAAGTATTTTTTTCTTTATAGGAAACATGTTCAATTCCATTGATCTTTGTAGTTGTGTTCTATGCTTTTTCCTATTTTTTAACAGTGGTTAAGAACAAAGGGGAACTAAACTTATAAAGACACTACAATGTTGGAATGTTTTATTTTCAATCCCTTTGACTTTGCTAGCATTAACCTTTTTCACAGCTGCCAGTTTTATATATTGAGCTATCTACCATAAACCCAAAGCTTTGGTTTCTTACAGACAATTCATTATATGTGACTTTTTTTTCTCAATGAACACTATTTTACCCTTAAATACTTAAACTATCTCTGCCGTTTGGTTGACAATTCACCAAATTAAAAAAAAAATCTTTACAATAAAAATTGGTTCATATCATCCAGATTATTTAGCATTATTTGTGAATTTGGGTTGATAGCTTTACGAACAATTTACGGAAAAGCTTTTGCTTCTATATTAAGATAATTTATGAACAAGTTAAAAAGCACCAGTCTCAACACTGAGCTCTTTTTGCCTGCCACAATCAACACACATCTTATTTCCTTCATTCCTGCCTTCAAAACAGGCTTTTATCTCATGACCACTACAGTTTACTCAAGAGCCCTTAATGAAGAACTTCATCAAAGACTTTGTGAAAATCCAAGTACAGCATATTGAAAAGTGCTGCTGACATGTTCAAATAATGGAACAAAGTTTATCCTTATGGAATCGATATTTGTTCAGTTGTTTAGTTATCCTGCTTCCCCCAAAAGAAGACATCCCCTGATAATAAGCCCAATCGGGCTTTTGAGCGCATGGCAATAAGGCCAAGCACTTATTTCAGGGTTCAAAAAACATAAAGACAGAGTCTTATTTTCGGGGAAGCACGGTATTTTTCTTTTCATTACTAACAATTTGCTTAGCCTTAGAGCTACCCAGTTTATAGTTTTCCAGGTGTCCTACAGGCCTCTTTAAAATACTCTACTATGGGGTCAGAAATTTCACATTTGGGTTTTTAAAAAATTCAATATTTGTTGATTCCATTTGCTTTTGGTTTTCTGCAGCTATTACCTGGTGGATAATGATTCATTAATTATTTGTATCTGAGCTGGTCTTAATAGTACAAACTATGTGAAGTTGCTTCCCTGCTTTTCTTACTTACAAGAGTCTCATTTTTAAAATGAACTATACTTAAAGGCTGCATTGCAGATCTGTCATATTACAATAATTGATTGCTCTTAAATCTTTTGGCTTAATGAGCAAAATTAAATTCTTTGAATAAACATATGATAGGGAACTGTATTGAAGGGAGAAAGACACTAGATTTCACTCGGATTAGAAAATATTTGAAACAAAACAAATGAAGGCAAAGGACCTTGGATTCAAATGTAACTTTGATTTTTAAAAGACGGGTCATGTCATGGAATAAAAACCAATTAGATGAAAAGAACCTACTCTGAATACAGAACATCACATCACATCAGGAATTGCATTACAACCGAACATTCAACAACTAGAAAGGCTTATTAAATTTCTCTTTATCTCCCCCCCCACATCGTTTATCTTCCCCTCCACAACGCTTACTCTTTTAGGCTAAACGGATCTTCCCAACTGTGTCCATCTCAGATCATCCCACCATTTTTTTTTAAAAAAAAATCCCAAACGTATTTTAACTCTTCTTAGATGCCTCCAACTTTTTTGGGAGTCATCGTTCAGCATATATAAACCGCGTAAAAAGGGGACTATACCTTTTATTTTCTTTAATGCACGTGTTTAAGTCTCTTCTCCTCTCCGAAATTATTTTGTCTTTTAAGACGTTAGAGAAGCAAGAGTGGGATTAGGGCGGAGGCAGAAAAGAAAAGCCCTTTAGGCTAATTAATATCCGGGAGACGGAAGGAGGCCAAATGTGGGAAGGGGGCGTGGCCAGAACACGAGCACGAGGCAGCCCGAACCCAGCAGGAACTACCTTGAGAGTTAAATTATTTAAAAAAAAAAATGGAGAAGCGAGGAAAAGGGGCGAGGACGCCCGGGCGCGTTCATATCCGGAATGTTGAGCAAGTCACGCATTTGGGACTTTTTGAGTATAAAGCTCAGGAAGGGAAGGAGGAGATGGGAGCAAAACCGCGGGACAGTTTACTCCAACCCGCCACACACCCCACGTCGAAAACGACACCACGAGTTTTCCCCCCAACCAAACCACATTCCTGTGAATTATAGAGCAACCGGAGTGAGGGGGGGAGGGCGCGGGACACCAGATTGGGGGAAAAGCCACCAACCATGTGCCGGAAATGGTTAGGCGGAAAAGGGCAGCGAGACAGAACTCGAGGCGCAGAATATCGGGCAGCCGGATTTAGGTCGCGCGCGGGAAGGGGGGGGCGCTCGCGCGCGGGTGGTGGATTTTTAGAACGTTCAAGGGAGGGTCGGGAGCGTGCGCGCGCAGCCCGCGAGCGGGGGGAGGGGGGAAAACGATGGCGGCGCAGAACTTTTTTTCAAAAAGGGAGGGCAAATTCCGGTAGAGGAAAGAGAGGGAGGGGGGGCTATCGTGGGACGGCTGTACGTGTATCCCAGAGTCTCTTCGATTCTGTTTCCAGAACTCGGCCAAAAGTTTTTGCCATGGTGCGAGTGGCCTAGTTTCCGCCTTCCCTTTGCACACCCGCGTCCAGCGATTTCTCTCACGCCGGGCGGAGAGCGGCCGCTCCCTCGCCTCAGTTATGCGACACGGCCAGGTGGAGCCGTGAGCCTCTCCCGAAACAATATCGCCTCACAAGTGACGCCGTCCTCTCCCCCCGTCCTTGTTATCGCTTACCCGTCCATGGCACACGAAGGCAACCCGAAGGGAAGCGGAGTGCAGGCGCTGGAGTAGCAGGAGCGGATCCAACGGCTACGTGTTATATAGACTCACAAAATGGCGGCTCGGAAAGGCTCCGCCCTCGACTCCTTCCCGACGCTGAAAACTGATTGGCTGCTTGGCCTGTCGCTTGGAAGGGGCAGGCAACGGAACCTCGCCGTTTCGGCTCAGCGCGAGCCGACTGGGATTTCTCATTGGTGGAAACTAAGCGACGGGGGCGAAGTTGGACTCCGGCTCGCGGCTGGATTGTCCGCCGTGGGATTCGCGGGGCCTTCTTGAGCTCTGGCGGTGAAGACGGGGAGCGGCCATCTTAAAAGAGGTGGGAGGGTTGGGATTTTTTTATTTTTTTTTTGGTTCCCTCCGCTGTTTAAACCCGGTCTGTCCCGACCGCCATTGTGGCTACGGGCAAATGAATCCAGAGGGCGACTTGCTCTCGAGACGGCCATAGTTGGATAGTTGGCAAACCAGGGGTTGAAGCCTTGGCGGCTCTTTTGAAAGATGGCAGAACAAGAGTCTGCCGGGGAAATCTGTTGAAAGACTTTAAAAAGTTGGCCGAGCAAGTTGAGGAGAAGCAGAAATGATTGTAGCAGTTTGCTAGACTCGTTGATCGTTCTTCGAGTTCTGCCCGTTCTTTGAAAAGAATTTATGTAGTATCTACATAATACATTTCTAATATATTTGAAACCAGCACATGTCCTCCGTTTTATACCCTTTCTGGAGAATTCAAAGCCCAAGTGAATTAAAAATTTGTCCCAAGTGACTTAAAAATCTGACTTTTTGTAAGACTCTTTGTGATATGTAGTCCTTGGTAGTTTTTTTTTTTTTAAAGTTACTTAATGTTATATGTCTTTAAACCCCACTCTACCCCAGACCACAATTTGTACCAACCCCTAGCCATGGGTCCTTCAACTGTCTACAAGCTGCCCATTCATGATTTACACAAATGAGAAATACACAAAAGAATATATAATTAGCATATATTCTCCTAGGCTTCCTGGCCTGGATCCACAGGCCGGTCTTGGTGATGGTTCTGACAGAACAGAGAACAGAACAGAACATTTTATTGACCAAGTGTGATTGCAAACACAAGGAATTTGTCTTTGGTGCATATGCTCTCAGTGTACATAAAAAGAAAAGATGCATTCGTCAGGAATCAAGGTACAACACTTAATGATAGTCATAGGGAACAAATAGCAACCAGGAAACAATATCAATATAAAACATAAGGATACAAGCAACAAAGTTACAGTCATGCAGTCATAGGTGGAAGGAGATGGGTGATAGGAACGATGAGAAGATTAATAGTAGTGCAGTCATAGTGAATAGTTTGACAGTGTTGAGGGAATTATTTGTTTAGCAGAGTGATGGCGTTCTGAAAAAATATGTCCTTGTGTCTAGTTGTTCTGGTGTGCAGTGCTCTATAGCGTCATTTTGAGGGTAGGAGTTGAAACAGTTTATGTCCAGGATGTGAGGGGTCTATAAATATTTTCACAGCCCTCTTTTTGACTCCTGCAGTATACAGGTCCTCAATGGAAGGCAGGTTGGTAGCAATTGTTTTTTCTGCATTTCTAATTATCCTCTGAAGTCTGTGTCTATCTTGTTGGGTTGCAGAGCCAAACCAGACAGTTATAGAGGTGCAGATGACAGACTCAATAATTCCTCTGTAGAACTGAATCAGCAGCTCCTTGGGCAGTTTGAGCTTCCTGAGTTGGTACAGAAAGAACATTCTTTGTTGTGCTTTTTTGATGACGTTTTTGACATTAGGTGTCCATTTTAGGGCTTGAGATATGATAGAACCTAGAAATTTGAAGGACTCTACTGTTGATACTGTGTTGTCTAGCATTGTAAGAGGTGGTAGTATGGAAAGGTTTCTCCTAAACTCTATAAGATGGAATACCTTATCCCAGAATTATGGGTGGCTGTAACTCTCCTTGCTTATTAGAAAGCCAATTCAATCAATGCTATTCCAGTGAGTCTTTAGTTTTGTCGATGTTATTATCCAAACTAATATTTTAGCTGTTTGATTTTGCTGTATGTTGCTCTACCCTATTTTGTGCTTCTAAGTCTTGGAATTAGACAGCCTTAACAAATCTAGTCATCATTATCATCTGGGGGAGCTTCATCACTGGAATCTTTCAAGAAGAGACTGGACTGCCATCTGTCAGAAATGGTGTAGGGTCTGCTTGGGTGGGGGTTGGACTAGATAATCTTCCAAATCTATCTGTATCTTAGAAAAATACTTGGTGGATTTGGATTGTGAACATTACATAGAAAATGCTCCAACAGGATTTTCATATCACACTAAGTCACTTAAAACACACACAGACTGTGTGCTGACTACAGTAGAGATCATTCCTTGTGATGGAATGTGCACCTGGAGAAACACTGGAGGGGGAGTCTTGGCATCACAGAGCTTTCCCAGGCAATAGAGAAGCCCAAATTAAGAGACTGCGCAGTCCCAGGGGGAGGGGGGGAATGAGGTTCAGGATAGCCATATCTCAGGATATATCTAGTAGGTAAGAAAGTTATAGCAGTTATAGTTATGGCAGTTTTCTGTCCTGTAAGTGTAAGCAATTGGACTCAATCAGATTTCTCTGTGTTGTTTTTGAGCCTGGAATGGCAGTCCTGCACTTGACTTTGAGCACAGTGGAGCCAATTAACTTGTTTCTTAGTTGCTCCTCCAGAACAAATGCTAAGGTGAGGATATTGAAGTGTTACTGTTGAAGTGTTTTGAGTTCACTATGTCCTGCCTCCAGAGAACGGATGAGTCCTGCTGCCCCCACCAAAGATTTTTTTTCCTCCTGTTCATCACCATAAAAAGGAATAAAGGAATAAATACCAGGATGAACAAGGTGCTAGGTTCCTGGTAATTACTGTGTTCCACTTATTGCCCAGTTGGATGGATGAAACATTAGAAGAAAACATTAGAAATGGGCTACCAGATCTAAGCTGCAAAAATCCAAATGACCAGTTAGTGACAACAAAAATACATAAAACAACGTTACTCTGCCATCGTGTTCAGCTGAAATATTGCAGTTGGTTAGAATACTTCAAAGAGGTTCTCTTCACCAGTGCTCTAATCAGGTAAAAATTTTCACAAAAATGGTGTGATTTGCTCAAAACCACCAAGGGCCAGCCAGAATGTAAGACTTAATAACTTAGCCAGCAGACCAGAAAGGGTAAAGAAAAGAATCAACCCCTTACCCAAGACCTTCCTAACTCACTAGTAGTTCAAGTGCCTCATCCTATGTGTTTTTCAGAACAAGGTCTTGGGACAGCTCTCTGGATCAGGTGCCTTCTGGGTCTGATTTCTTCAAGATATCAAAATAGTTGAGCAGCCATTTTTGTGGTTCTTTGGGACAAGTGATCCTCAGATCAAGGCATTCTGGTGGCCACCCAGTCTGGAGAAGCCCTAGCATTAAACAAAATGGGCTACTATCAATAGCAGGTTCCTTTGTTGTCATTGAACCTTATAGTACAAAGTTAAACTTTCCCATGGAATGCTTGAAGTAAGGTTTATTGACTTTATTCTCAGGAAGATGTAGATTAGATAGCAGTGCGGTATTGTTAACCTTAAATAGGGTAAAAAATATGAGAGAACAAAGCCTATAGTTCAGTTTTCTGCACCTTCATTTCAGCTGAGTTGTCCTGTCTCCAGTTTGCCAGATGTCAATAAATTGTGTGTAGGAGCAAAATAACACATGCTATTATATTACTTCACAATATTGAGTTTCACTGAGGAGGGATTTCATTTCACTGTCAGTCTAACTCCTACCACTTTGGATAAAATTAAATAGCTTTTCCTCTTTAACTAGTAAATGTTTGATCAGGATCGTCTCTGTACAGCACCTAAAGCAGTATTTCTCAGCTTCAGCGATTTTAAGACGTGGACTTCAGCTTCCAGAATTTCCTAGTCCATGCATAGGCTGGAGAATTTTGGGAGCTGAAGCCCACACATCTTAAAGTTGTTTAGGCTGAGAAACACTGACCTAAAGCACTAAATTTATACAAGAAATCTAGGTCCTGCTGTTAACGTGAATTGTGCAAAACTATTTTGCTGAAAATGGAAGAACAATTCTAGGAAATCTGTGAATAGGGGATGAAATAAACAATTGTTCCGTTGGTTCCTCTGCTTCCCATTGCTTAGTATTCAGACAGCAATTTTTATAAAATATGGAGGTTCTGTTTAACAAATAGAGACTGAAAACTCTGCCTGTTCCATTAATTTATCTGGTCCTAAGGCAGGGGTTTGCAACCTTAAACCACAGAAGAAGAAGAAAAACACTGGGAGCCACAAAACCCTTCCCGTGCCTAGCATATGTAGTTGTAGTTAAATGTTCTGTTTTCTTCTGAAACTTTTCTTTTCTTGGATTTATCCATGGTTGGCCTACCGGGGGCCGAAAAGCTCAATAAATCACATGCCGGCGGGTGTCGCACATTGGTAATTGTGATACATTTTGAGTGACGGAGCCGCAGAAGAGGGGTGAAAGAGCCACATGCAGCTCCAGAGCCGCAGGTTGCTGACCCCTGTCCTAAGGTGTTTAAAGGTGCTAAAGCAATGCATACAACCACATATTGTGTCAGTAAGTTCCATAAACAGCAAACTGCTCATTAATGTTACTGTGTGATCCTACAATCTAGAAAGAGAAATATTTAATTTTATTTCAGTTTAATGGACTTACAAACTGTTCCATTTGCAAACGTTTCTGTGGCATATGTTCCACTGTTCCTAAATTAAGTTAAAATATAAAAATAAAATACTGAATCATGTTAGCAACAACCTATAACAACACTACTGGGAACATAATCAATTTAGCAGACAAATTCTACTGTCCAAGGGGAAAATATCACAACATTCTGCTCCCAATGCCTGCTGGAAAACCACATTTTAATTCCTTTCCTAAAAGTCAACAGAGCAGGAATTTTCTGGAGAAATGCTGTTCCATAAGGGGAGTCAGCAACTGAGTTGGCTGTGATCCTTGAAAACGGCCTTCCCCGACTGAAGGAATATGGAGGGAAATGTATGCATGGATGTATAGATTTGTTTCATTAAATGTATTATGGCTGGCTATTGTAGTAGACTCTGGGCAGCTTACAAAATCCAAATACACAATTAAAACAGTTAAAGAGATAGAAAACATAAAATAGAACATGACAGGCTGGACTATAAACAGCAATAACAATGAAAACATAATAGGATCCCCATTAATGTATAATACATTAACGCCAGGCCTGGGAACAAAGCTAAATTTTTGATCATTTGTATCTCTAGGGTGGTTGTCCCAGAGGGCAGTAGAAGCAGCAGAGAAAGTATGCTTTTTGAGTCCCATAAGATGGCATGCTTTAATTGAGTAGATCTGGAGCATAGCCATTCTGTCTGAATGAACCCAGCACAAAGATTCAATGGGAGATCAGGGGACCCTAAGCTAACTAGTTCCTATGCCATGAAGAGTTTTTATATAACGATCGGTGCCTGGAAGCCAGATAGCTGCCTCACCTTGACAAATGGGTGTAGGAAGAAGTGACTCTTACTGCTTGCACTGCTGGATTTTGAACCAGCTGTAGCTTCTAGATCAGGGGTGTCAAACTCAATTTCATTGAGGGCCACATCAGGGTTGTGTTTGACCTCATGGGGGAGGGGCAGGGGGGGCATGGCCAGCTCGACGTCACTCATGTCGGGGCGCCTGTGGTGACCTGAGCACTCTACCAGCGAAAATGGGTTCCTGAGCTCTGTTTTCAGTTGCCACGGCCTCCTGGAACCCAGTCAAAATGGAGCTCTGGAAGGCTACCTGCAGTCTTCCCAAGCTCTGTTTTCACTGGTAGAGGCACTGTGGGCTGGTCCTTCGCTGTTTCCAGGGTGGCCCTGCAGGCTGGTTCCGGCCCCCAGGCCTTGAGTTTGACAGCCCTGTTCTAGATGATCTTCAAGGGCAACCCCAGGTAGAACATATTGCAATCAATAAACTAAGAAGCTCTAATTAGACAAGCAGGTAGTATCAGTATTGAGAAGGGGCAGTTGCACAGGTTGTGAGCTATGAAGGACATTACAGGTGACAATTCAGTCCATTGAATTTTAACCAAAAGGAAATTGCTAACCAGTGTAGCTCTCGAGGCAATGTTACATGGAAAAATAGAGAGGAATAGAAAATGGATATAAAAATATTTTGGAGAAATAGTGGAGAAAGGCATCTTTGTCCTTTCCTAGAACTTTGTCCTAGTTCACAGATCATGATAAGCTATATTTTTATTTGTTTGGCCCTTGGTGTTATGTGAATTCAGCAATTGCAAATTGTAAACAGAAGGAAATTACCAGTGGTGAAATCCAATTTTTTTTACTATCGGTTCTGTGGGCGTGGCTTGGTGGGTGTGGCAGGGGAAGGACTGCAAAATCTCCATTCCCACCTCACTGGGGCCAGCCAGAGGTGGTATTTGTCGGTTCTCCGAACTACTCAAAATTTCCACTACTGGTTCTCCAGAACCTGCTGGATTTCACCCCTGGAAATTACTTTAATCAGTAATTTCCAAACAATTCAGATAATCATAGCTAAAAGTAATGAGATCTATGAATACAGTTACTGGCTCTTTGATTCCCTAGCCTAGCCCTTCTTATCTATTTTTTCTTATTATGTGTATGGTTATTTAAAATGAAACTGTAACCAAATAGATAAATCTAAGCAAAATTCCCATGTGGATTTAAAACATTTTTTTTTCTCTGACCTTCCTAACCTTCCTGACCTTTCTTTTGTAAATGGGCAAATTTATCCCATTACCCTTTCCATGCATTTTCAGCACTTTCTTGCTTTCTGTATTCCTTTAGAATCTTCTGATTACTCATTTCCTTGTATAAGAAACACCAGCCATTTCCTGCCTACCATGCTAAGACATTTTGTTGAAACCACAAAGCCTGGATATCCGAAAGGCATGTCCATCTGTGTATATGTTTAAGGTCCGATTTGGTCAGCTTCCCTTGTACAGAACTGAATTTTAGATGTAAAATTCCAGCGGCTGCCTCCTTACAAAAGGACATAGAGCAATCTTTGCAAAGGAGGCATTTCACCCTCACCAATGGTTAATTGTCCAGTTACAAGCAGTTGGCCTGTGATCGTGAGCATACTTCCACTAAAAGCTTCATTCGGTTCAGTGGGACTTACTTCTGGGTTAAGGTTATTGTGTGAGAACTGCCTAAATGTGATTAAAATTTCATGTAATTACTCTTTAGTCATTACTTCCACATTGCAACTCTCCCACCTTCCCACAAAATAAATACGAAGGGCAGCTTGTCATTCTCCAATATGAATAGAAACTTCCCCTCAGCCGAAAAGCGCTGTTCCACATTTTTTCCCCCTTAAAATATTTCAAGTTTACTGAATTCTTGCTGCTTTACTATTGAGACGGTTGGAGAAGAGAGAAATGTTAAGCTGGGTAAAGGTATTCAAGAGAGGCTTGGGTATTGCAGCTTCTTAGGCTATGAGATCTACTGCTAAATAATTCAATTTCTAGATTATTTATTCATGCAGCAGAGCTCAGATGTCCTCCTTTTCTTTCATCTCTTCTGCATGTCATGGAAAGTTCCTGACAAAATATTGTAAATGGGTCCAGAAGCTGCTACTGTAAGAACAGAGTAAAATCCACCACCCCTTTTTTTCCTGGCCCATTTTCCAGAGGTAAATGTCATTTTATTTGCAAATGTAGAATGTATAAAAAGTCAAAAACTTAAAACCAGCAAAACAGTTTGCAATTGAATTGCTTACCAGTGTGCTAGTAATTTCTAAATGGATTGCATCAATACATTAAATGAGATTAAGTAAAGGATAAGGAAATAATATCAAGATTGCATTTATTGCTATCAGTGAGAGAGCGAAGAAACTTGAAAAATCCATATGTTGTGTTCCATTTCTGATCAAATTCTTACTGCTTTCTGTGAAAATCTGTCATTTAATTAGCCAGCATTTCAACACTACTGTATACCATTACAGTTTTGCCAGGGAGAGGCAATTGGAAATTTAACAACTTTCAAGAATTTCTGAATATTTGTTTTTGAATTTTTTTTTCTTCAAATTTAATTTGAGAGGCATACAAGCAACATTTTTTTCAATTTGGCATGTGAAATCTTGCGAAGGTTTATCTCTACCACACATGGTCATTAGTTTTTACATTTTGAACATCTTAAAATATGTTAATGCTTTCATTATTTTATATTTTTATTTTAAATTACATAGCATTTGATCTGCGATCTTAATGGTTTTTAATGCTGTATTTCTTTTGCAGATGCATATCCTGACAGCCAATCCAGAAACATTTTGAATAAACAATAAAACATATTCCAACAGCATAAATAAAACTTGAAGAAGAATTGATTTCCAATTTCTTGTGAGAGAAGAGTGAAGAGTATCTGCCTTCCTTTGCTATACCGCCGTTTTAGAATTGATCAATTAAAAACATAGACACAGGAGCAGGCTAGATTCTTCATGATGGGAAAATCAGACGATGTTATTAATCATGTCATCCTTATTTATGTGAGTATTCAAAACATCTTTCTTCAAAACATTAAGATGCTGCACATTATTTTATATATGTACAAAAAGAGGAATCCCCTGACTTTGTTCCATTAGATCAGGGCAGTGGTGAAATCCTCCCCGGTTTGCCACCGGTTTGCTACTGGCACATGTGTGCCAAGCACATGCTCTGCGCATGCATGCACAGTGCACACCAAACATGCGCAGGTGCAGTGTGCACAAGTACATGCGCAGTGCATGAAATGCATGCTGTGCGCGCATAAGCAGTACGCACCAAATGCATGCTTCGCATGGAAAAAGGGTTGTGAAGGTAAGTAGAACAGCGAGGGGGGGAACAGCTGTGCTGGGCAATTTAGATTCACTAGAAAGCAGGATTTCTTGATTCATCCAGGTTTGGCTGAACCAGTAGCTTTTTTTTACTGCCGGTTTGCCCAAACCGGTAGTTTTTATCACTACCGGTTCGCCTGAACTGGTGTGAACCGGTAGCATTTCACCGCTGGATCAGGAGTGTCAAACTGGATTTCTTCGAGGGCCAGGTCAGCATTGTTGTTCTCCTCCATGGGCCAGCCGGGAGGTGGGGGAGAGAGGATGGATGCCTCCTGAAGCACCCTGCCGGCCAAAATGGAGCATGGTGCCTGTTTTCGGCCTGGACGGCCTCCTGCAGCACTCTGCCAGCCAAAGGGGGCGCAGGGGGCCCTCGCACAGTCCCCTGTGCCCCATTTTGGCTGCCAGAGACACCGTGGGCTGGTCCTTTGCTCTTTCCAGACCAGCACCGCAGGCCAGATTTAAGCACCCCACCCCATGGGCCTCGAGTTTGACACCCTTGCATTATAGCCCATGTTCACAGCATTCCTGTGTCCTATTTCCCCCTAACAACAGGCATCTTGTTGGATAAGTTAGGCTGTGAGACCTTATTGAGTTTTGTGGACTTAATTCCTGTAGGTTTCAATCTGTTTCACCAGCTGCATCCTATGAAATGGTGGACTTGCCTTGTGAACTGCCTTAGGATTTATGTATACTGTACATTATGTATTCACCAGCTTACATGCCTGGGACGTCCTCCTTCCCATGGGAACAGGGGCTGGTGACTTATACGTCATAATATTTTAACAAAGCATTTGCTAAGTTAGGAATCTAGAGCTAGGATTCTCCAGGGTTTGTGGCCAAATAAACAAAGGTGGGTGGAATTCATATCTTCAGGCAGCTGCCCAAGTGCCAGCATTCATGCAGAGGGCTCCATTGTCCCCAGCAGTCCTTTTCACCCTGTTGCTCTGATTCAGTCAAAGTTGGACAGACATTTGGGAAACTGTCTTTAAAAAAAAAATCACAGAATGAATGGTGCATAGCACTGATGCCAACGGGCAGGAGCTCTTTTGTTTATTTTCCAGTTCTGCTTGACTGATGCAGCACCATTGTGGCAAAGCAGTTTAGCAGTTTGATTGCAATATTGTTGCTGTCAAGAAAACCCACAGGTCTAGAGGAGATGCTGCTATGGGGATGGGATGTATGTGTGTGTGTGTGTATTTTCGATGATTTCAGAAGTAGTTCACCATTGCCCACTTTGTTTTATTTTTATTTATTTATTTATATCCCACCTTTACTATTTTTACAAACGTACGGCAGCAAACATATCCAACAAATCTTCCTCCTCCTATTTTCCTCACAACGATAACCTTGTGAGGTGAGTTGGGCTGAGAGAGCATGACTGGCCCAAAGTCACCCAGTTGGCTTACATGGCTAAGGCAGATTAGATTAGTGCCTTAACCACTAGACCAGTGATAGCTAACCTTTTTGCCATTGCATGCCAAAAGCGAGGGGAGCGCGCGGGGTGGTGGTGGTATCACATGCATGTGTGCCCACATCCATAATTCTATGCGCCCCCCATGCTCCCCCTGCTTTTGGCAAGCGATGGCACGGTGGGCCCGGTAGGCCCATTTTTCGCTCTCCCCAGGCTCCAGAGCCTTTCTAGGAGCCTGGGGAGGGCAAAAACAGCCTTTCCCACCCTCCCTAGAGGCCCTCTGGAGGCCGGAAACAGCGTGTTTCCTGACTTCTGGTGGGCCCAGAAGGCCCGAAAATCAATTGACCAGTGCACGCATGCATGCCGGAGCTGAGCTCGCGTGCCCACCGATATGGCTCCATGTGCCACCTGTGGCATCCGTGCCATAGGTTCACCATCACGGCACTAGACAAACTGGCTTTCAGTGTGTGTGTACCTGTGCACACGTGTACATGCACATATACACATATTTTCGTTCTGAGGAAGGTCTGTGTGATTAGTAAGGGTTGACAACAAGTGGACAGCACATAACCATCCCCATGCATCCCCGTATCCGTGTATGTTTTATACACAGAGAGAGAGGGAGAGAAAGACACAAAGAGAGACAGAGTAGACTAGAAGAAGGTGATTTCTGGAAAATTGAAACCTGTAAGTAGAAGGGCTGAACATGATAAATAGGGACAAAACGTCCTATTTTGCCACATTTTAAAGAAGATTACCCATTAACTTTTCAGGGAGAGACAGGGAAGTTCAGAAACAGCTTTCTTCCTCTGCTGATATGCACAAACCTTTTTCTTAGGCCATCCTCCTAAAACCAGTTTTGCCCCTTACTTTGGCCTCCACTTTAGTAAATGGGTCATCCCCTGCAGCTGCATGCTTTTCATTCCACGCTATCAAGGATGAATATATATTGAGACAAATAGGCCCATTCCTTTGCAGATTCCCCCCCCCCCAATTTTCTCTGCACTGGACTCTTTTGAAGTCTGATAGGTACAACTTGGCTTTGCTTTCTTGTATTTTTCCATCCTTCCCCTTTTATGTTGGTGTAATGCAGTCTTACTAGCCATGACACTTTAGCATTTCCCAGAATTTCTGTAAACTTATCCAATATTGGAAATTATAATTGCCATTCAGACATCTGTAGGGCCACAGGTCATTTTCCCATCCCATCAGGCTCCCAAAATTAGAGCCTCGAGGCCAGAGATAACTGTATTGTGATTCTGATTGTTGGGTCCTGCATTTTTTTCTTGTCATGTTTTAACAATTGCTTTAAAAGTTTTAAAGACAATGTTATTTAAATTCTCCTGATTAGGATATGACTTCTTTTGCATTTTTCAGTGGTGAATGTCCTGCTGTAATATGTAATTAATCTCTCTGACACTGTACATGGGTTTTGCTAGGAAAATGTCCAACCGAAATTCTACTCCAGGATATTCATTCAAGAAATTTAAAATAAATATTCAAGAACTCTGAGAACAGTTGAGAAGTAGAAACCTTTTTTTGAGAAATTACAAGGCAGATTTGGAGATGCTATTCTGTACTCTGGTTGAAACATTAAATAATAGAAGTAGATGAAAAACTGTTTGCACAAGAGATCTGATTCAACCCCAAGGAAAATGCTTTCCATAAAACAACTCTATTATATCCAGGGGCACCAAACACATTAATTTCTGTTTCTGTTTCAGATCCAGATCCTCTCTTAGTTTTCGTCTTCTAGACCAGAAGAAATATTTCTGCTGGAAAGCTTCATAGGGTGTATCTTTGCAACATCAACGTATAGACTCTGACGTAAACAATTAAAATTCTAATAGACACCAAAACTCCAGGCAGAACACAATTGTATTGTTTTCTGTTGTACAGATTTTCTAACTTTAGGCTATAAACACAATGGACACATTTCCTTTGATAAATGACTTGCAAAATTTTCCAGTACTGTACTGGGCAATTAGTGAAGAGTTCAATGGGAATATTGGAAAAAAAGGAGGGAGGGAGAGGGGGAGGAAGGAAGGAAGGAAGGAAGGAAGGAAGGAAGGAAGGGAGGAAGGTTCCAAATGAGATTCACTGATGAAAAATGAGGATAGAAAGCCATTTTAAGGGTGGCAAACTATTGTAAGCTGCCCAGAGTCACTCTGGATAGTGAGGAGGGCAACATATAAATTTAATAAATAAAGTAAATATCACTCTCAACATGACTGGGAAAAGGCTGTGATGAAGTCACATTTGTATGAAAAATGTATAAGAGCAACCAGCCAACTGGATACAGTAGCTATCTGAGTCAAGACCTTGGAGAATTGCAAGTTCAAAATTCATACATAATTTCTTTCTCTTTCCACTGCTGGGCATGTGGAGAGCTTTGCCTCACATCTGGCTCTTGGCCCATTACGCATCTCCACAGTGAGTGTTGCCAAGGGACTAACTTTCTTATTCACTGTTTTAGTCTAATTTCGCTCAAACACCCCCAAACCTGGAGCAACTCCAAATTCTCCACGACCAGTGCCTTGCCCTAGTTTCCTTATTTTCCATTACCTGCTGCCCAAAGCCTTTTTTTTTAAAATTCCACTCCTCCCTGAGCCAGCCACAGATCCCTTACTCTGTTTAAATGCTTTATTTCTATTTTTCCTCTTGCCCTGTGTGAAGCACCACCCTTTAAATTGCAGCCTTGGTATACTCTGCTGCTCAATCCTGCCCAAATCCCTCAATAAACGTTATTTTCGCACTCCTGCAGACACTGAAGCCTCTTGGATATTTAATCTGAAATGCCCTGCAGGCCTATTAAAGGATCCTGCCTGCTGTGCCTGCCACTTTTCACCCTGTTCATCACAAAAGCAGTGTTGCAATGTCACTCTGCAAGCTCCTCCTCCCCTTTGGGCATGTATGTGACAGCATGATATATATATAGAATAGGGCCAAGACTTGAATACCATGAAAACGCTTTCTCTAGCCCAGTGATGGAGAACCTTTTCGGCACCGAGTGCCCAAACTGAAAATTGTGTGCATGTTGTGTGCATGTGCGCACACCAGAGCACTCGAAACCCGAAGACAGCTGGCCAGCACATGCATGCCCAAAGAACCGTTTTTTGGCTGGTTCTTTGGGCCATTTTCAGGCTGTTTTTCTGGCCTGTTTTGGGGGCGTTTTTGGGCCGTTTTTTGAGCCATTTTCAGGCCATTTTCAGGCCATTTCCCGGGCTGTTTTCTGGTGCTCTGCCACCTGTGAAGACCAGCTGGCCGGCGTGCACATGCACACCAGAAACCAGAAGAGCAGCTGGCAACGGCACGCATGCCCACAGAGAGGACTCTGCATGCCACCATTGCAGGGGTGAAATGCTCCCGGTTCAGACCGGATCGTTCGATCTGGTAGCGATGGTGGCAGGTGGTTCGGAGAACCAGTAGCAAAAATCTGTGCGCCCCCCCCCACCATGCCCAGCTGAGTCGCACAATCATCAGAGGCTTTTTTTTTTTAACTTTTCAAAGCATTTTTTCTACAACCTCTTCCGACGAAAAAAATGCTTTTAAAAGTAAAAAAAAAAAAGCTTCTGATGATCGCACAGCTCATCTGGGATCATCAGAGGCTTTTCAAAGCATTTTTTCCTGCAACCTCTTGGCTGAAGAGGGGAAAAAAAAATGCTTTGAAAAGTCTCTGACGATCCCAGCTGAGTTGCCTGATCGGCAGAGGCTTTTCAAAGCATTAGAAAAAAATGCTTTGAAAAGTTAAAAAAAAAAAAGTTGGCCACACCCATCCAGTCACATTACCCACCACCACCAAGCTACGCTCACAGAACCAGTAGTAACAAATTTTACATTTCACCCCTGCACCAATGGCATGCATGCCATAAATTTGCCATCACGACACTAGCCTCTCCCACTCTGTGCATCAAGATAACCAGGAGTCCGGGCAGGATAGTTTGAATTTTAAAAAAAACACAAATTTTATCTTAACAAAATGTAACACATCAGATGAGATATATACAAAGATACTGCTTCCTTGATGATTTAAACATTATTAAAGGTGGTGTGGATTTTTGAGATAATATGTAATGACAAACTGCTGGACCAGAATCTAGCCATATTAACATGGTCAAAAAAGTAAATCAGATTGTTTTAATGTTTGGCACATTCCTCTTTCTGACCTCAACATTTCAATAAACCTACAGCCTTTGGAACCAAAGGTGGATTTTCACCTTCTGTTAAACAAAGTAGATTCTAAAAGCAGAAATCTGTTCCTAGGATGCCATCTGTTCTAGATTTCAAAAGTTTCTTCTTATTTAGAAGTTCACTTTTTTCAAATGAATAATGAGAACATTTTTTCTTCTTCTTCTGTCCTTTCTAGACAGAGACAAAACTTTTATTTTGCTTGTCATCTGTACCGTCTGGTTGAGATTATTGTTCTGACCCAGCTCCCCAAACATGACAAACCCTCTGAAGTTAACTCAAAGACTCCTTTATTATTTTTCCGGGGCAGCGCTAGCAGCCCCAGCAAAAAGTTTCTCTCTCACCGCAGGCTAACAAGTCCGTCCGGCAGGGAGATGAATAGTTGTCTGCCACATCTATTCATCTCCGCCCCCTGCCTTTTATCCCCAGAGTTAGGGTGGGACTTTGCTAGCAGCGGTGGCTCTTCCTTCCCAAGGATCAGCCCATGGATTTCCATTGCTCTCCTCTCCTCTGCCTTCTGCGCATCCGCACATCAGGCACTGGACCCAGCTGTTCCTCCTCTTCCTCATCAGCCACCTCCAGACCCGGGGGCTGTTGACTCTCCAGGCTCTGCTTCTGTCTCTCTCTCTGCCAGCTCCATTTCCTCTTCCCCCTCGGAGCTCTCAGGTTGCCTTGATGCTGACCCTGACTCCAACACCTCCTCCTCCTCCTCTGATTCAGCTGCTGGATGGGCACCGACTTAAAGTGGTGAACATACCTAATACTCTTTTCTCCTCCTATTTTCCCTATAACAAGGAGAGGGTGGGTTGGGCTGAGTGAGAGTGACTGGCCCAGTTGGTTTTCAAGCCTAAGGTGGGACCAAAACTCAGTCACCTGGTGATTGGCCCAAAGTCACTCATTTGGCTTTCATGTCAAAGGTGGAACTAGAATTCACAGTCTCCTGGTTTCTGTCCTAGTGCCTTAACTACTAGACCAAACTAGCTGTTAACCTATTAATAAACTATTATGTAAACCATAGTTAAACAAAAATGATTTAATGCAGTGAGAGTCTTTGGATTGGGAAGGTGAAAAATAAATAAATAAATAAATAAATAAATAAAGATAGATGATAGATAGATAGATAGATAGATAGATAGATAGATAGATAGATAGATAGATGATTGATAGATGATAGATAGATAGATGATAGATAGATAGATAGATTGATGATAAATAGATAGATGATTGATTGATTGATTGATAGATGATTAATAGATAGATGATTGATAGATGATGATAGATGATAAATAGATGATAGATGATAGATAGATAGATGATTGATTGATAGATGATAGATATAGATAGATAGAAGATAGATAGATAGATGATAGAGATGATAGATGATAAATAGATAGATAGATGATTGATTGATAGATGATAGATAGATGATAGATAGATGATAGATAGATGATAGATAGATGATTGATTGATTGATAGATGATAGATATAGATAGATAGATAGATAGATAGAAGATAGATAGATGATAGATGATAGATGATAGATAGATAGATGATAGATAGATAGATAGATAGATAAATAGATGATATAGATAGATAGATGATTGATAGATGATAGATAGATGATAAATAGATGATAGATGATAGATAGATAGATAGATGATAGATGATAGATAAATGATTGATAGATAGATGATAGATATAGATAGATAGATGATACAGATAGATAGATGATAGATAGATGATAGATGATAGATAGATAGATGATAGTTAGATAGATAGGTAAATAATGATAGATAGATGATTGATTGATAGATAGATAGATGATAGATAGATAGTTGATTGATTGATTGATAGATAGATGATAAATAGATGATAGATGATAGATAGATAGATGATTGATTGATAGATGATAGATAGATGATTGATTGATTGATAGATGATAGATATAGATAGAAGATAGATAGATAGATGATAGATAGATGATAGATGATTGATTGATAGATGATAAATAGATAGATGATTGATTGATTGATAGATGATAAATAGATGATAGATGATAGATAGATAGATGATTGATTGATAGATAGATGATAGATAGATGATAGATAGATGATAGATGATTGATTGATTGATAGATGATAGATATAGATAGAAGATAGATAGATAGATGATAGATAGATGATAGATGATTGATTGATTGATAGATGATAGATATAGATAGAAGATAGATAGATAGATGATAGATAGATGATAGATGATTGATTGATAGATGATTGATTGATTGATAGATGATAGATATAGATAGATAGAAGATAGATAGATGATAAATAGATGATAGATAGATAGATGATAGATGATTGATTGATAGATGATTGATAGATAGATGATTGATAGATGATAGATAAATAGATGATAGATGATAGATGATAGATGATAGATAGATGATGATAGAGATTGATAGATAGATAGATGATAGATAGATGATAGATGATGATAGATAGATGATAGATAGATGATGGATTGATTGATAGATGATAGATATCGATAGATAGAAGATAGATAGATGATAGATGATTGATTGATTGATTGATTGATAGATGATAGATGATAGATAGATAGATAGATAGATGATAGATGATTGATTGATAGATGATAGATAGATAGATAGATAGATAGATGATTGATTGATTGATAGATGATAGATATAGATAGATAGAAGATAGATAGATGATAAATAGATGATAGATAGATAGATGATAGATGATTGATTGATAGATGATTGATAGATAGATGATTGATAGATGATAGATAAATAGATGATAGATGATAGATGATAGATGATAGATAGATGATAGATAGATGATTGATAGATAGATAGATGATAGATAGATGATAGATAGATGATAGATAGATGATAGATAGATGATGGATTGATTGATAGATGATAGATATCGATAGATAGAAGATAGATAGATGATAGATGATTGATTGATTGATTGATTGATTGATTGATAGATGATAGATGGATAGATAGATAGATAGATAGATAGATAGATGATTGATTGATTGATTGATAGATGATAGATATAGATAGATAGAAGATAGATAGATAGATGCTCCTGGAAGCACGAAGCCGAGAACACCAGCCTGAAGATGATGAATGAGACTTCGTCGAAACGTCGCCAAGACACTTCCAATTTTATGTTGGAGAAGACCCGAATAACCAAAGACCTACATAGATAGATAGATAGATAGATAGATAGATAGATAGATAGATAGATAGAAAGATAGATAGGTGAAGCCCACTAAAAGTGATCTTTTAGCCATGGCCCTTTAATAGCGACAGATGCTGTCTGTCCCTTGGTGAGAGGAAACAAATGATTTGTTCAGGAGAGGAATCAGGAAGTTGGATCTGCTCCTAATAAAGTGGGAACATTTGGGACCCATCAGTGAAAGGAAAAATAAAATGAGTGTCATGTTCCTACTATCCACTTTGGCTTTCCTCCATTGTTTGCTTAGGTTCAGGAAGGAACAAAAACAAAGCAGTCTGTTTATTTTGGGGGGGGGGAGGCCCTCGCAAAATTCTATACACCAACAAGCTGATCCAGCCAAACATATGATTTTCTGGTTTTAGAAAAGGATAGTATCCAAAGCTGTCGTGTTTGGGGCAAAGGTCACCTTGCGTCTGATTTTTCACACTCTGTAAATTGGCACGAGAAAGTGCAATCACACAGGAGAGGAAGTGACCCGTGTGGATTGGCTATGCCCCCCACCTCCCCCAAGCTCAGCTTGCCAAAAAGAAGAGAGAGATCAGGCATACCAAAAGTCTCTGCAATGGGAGGACCAGGAAGGGGGCTGTCTTTGCTGGTTGCTGCTGGGCTTCCCTTTAATCTTCCTGCTTGCAAACAGACATGTTTCAAGGATGCTGAAAGGACACTGGAAAGGTAGCGGAAATAACAAAACGCTGGGTTCAAAATCCCTAGTGTAATCCACACTAGCTGCTGTTGAACTGTTCTTCAGGTGACCCTCCACCACCATCCCGGCTTCAGGATTTATTTATTTATTAAATTTATATGCCGCCTGTCTCACCGATAAGGTGACTCTGGGGCAGCTTGATTATTCAAAGGCTTTGCACTGTGCCAGTGACATCAAGCCATGGAATGTGCGGGGGTGGGCTTCAAAAATTTAAACAATGGGTTCTCTGCCCTGTTGCTGGGTGGACGTGGCCACGGTGGGCATGGCCTAGTTGGCCTCCTGTACCATGGCGGGGAGGGGGGGTTTCGTTTTCACCTTCCCCAGGCTCCGGAGGCTTTCCTCGAACCTCTGGGAGGGCTAAAACTGTCTCGCCCAGGCTCTGGAGGTCCTCTGGAGACCGGAAACAGGCCTGTTTTTGGACTTCCGGAACTTCCGGGAGGTCTGTTTTTCCCCCTCCCTGAGCCTCCACGTGGGCCCTGCACTTACCTTGCATCCAAAATGGGCCTCATGGAGACTCCTGGGAGGGGAGGGTGGGGTGGGAAGAGCCAGCCAGGGGTGGGATTTGGAGGTTCTCCAAACCAGCTATAACGTTAGCTACAGGTTCTCCCGAACCTGGGTGAATCCGCAGCAGCCCACCCTTGAATGTGCTCAGAAAAATGGAAATCTCAGAACATCCCATTGCTCTTACGAGAGAAAGCTATGTAAAAATCGGTGAGCCACAATGTTTACAGAACAAGGTGGAAGAGACTGATTCAAACAGACTGGCTGAAGGTTGGCAAAGAAGTATGACAAGGTTGTCACAAGAACTGAGGTGTCCTCAACGGGAAATCATCTTTCTCCCTTTCTGCCCAAGCTTTGAACAGCTACTTTGCCAATTTATCCAGTGGATTATCACAGCGCACACAAAATGTGGGGTTAATGTTAATGGTTATTTGTTTGTGATTCTCTTTTTTAGCAGGAATCAACAACTTTTGCTGGCTCCCAGGTGCTATCCTAGGATTTTCCACCACGCAGTTTCATGCGATGAAGGTTTTATCAGGTTTTATCTTGGGCCAATAAATTATCTATGCCGTGCATAATTTGTGTGATTTTGAGAGCAGTATACAATAAGTTAAGCATGAGGCAGCAATGCGCTACTGCTGGTGAAAAGGCATTAAATCAGTGGCCCCCAACCTTTTGGGCATCAGGGATCAGTTCCGTGAGGAGATGTTTTTCCGCGGACCGGAGGGGCGTGGTTTCATGTGTTGCCTGGATCCTGCGGATGGGGCTTCACTTGTTTGCACGGCCTGGTTTCTGGCATGTCGCAGTCTGGTGCTGATCTGTGAACTGGGGTTTGGGAACCCCTGCATTAGAAGACCATAGAATCCCAATTATGGGAAGCAATTAGTTTATACTCTGCCCTGAAGTATTGTATTTTGGGTGTCGGTTCTAACAGGCCAGTGACATATTTGAGTCACTTGGAACGGAGTTTCCAAGCTGGTGAAGGATGTGGAATGCAAAGCTTACCAGCAACAATTAAAGGATCTGGGTATGTTTACCCTACAAAAAATAAAAGTAAAGGGAAATATTATTACCAGCTTCCAAGCATTTGAAGCTTGTTACGCAAAAAAGAGAGTGAGCTAACTTATTGCTCCAGAAGAGAGGTCTAGATCCAATGGCTTAAAATTACTAGGGGGGCAGGGGGAGGAATTCAGGCTAGACTTCAGGAGCAACTTCTTAACTGTATGAACTATCAGCTACTCCAGGAATTTTTTTTTAATCAGGCCATGGAACATGTTAATTAAAAACATCCCAGGAGCCCCCAGTGGCTTAAGGGGCAGAAAAAGAAGTTCACAAGACACCAAGCAGTTAAAGGTGGCAGTGGGAACTTTGTACTTTCAGACTTGCAAGATTGCTGTCTGCCCTCCCGAGTAAAGCAGACAGGAGACATAGACTAGAGCAGTGATGGCTAACCTTTTCCGGACCGAGTGCCCAAAGCGCGTACACTAGTAGTGAGTTCCACTTACCTTCGCTACTGGTTCAGAACCGGGAGCACGTGCGCATGCGCAGAGCGTCTGTGATGCCGTCCAGATGGGTCGGCAGAGCCTCCCGCTGCCGCCACTACTGGTTCGCTGAACTGGGGCAAACTGGTAGAAACCCACCACTGGCGCATGCGCAAATGCACACGTGCGCAAACCCCCAAAATGCAATGTGCCCCCGCATGCAGCCCCCACATGCAGCCCATCCCAATGCATGCACACACGGCCCCCGCATGTGCCCCACCCCCGCACATGCATGTGGGCCACTGCATGCAAGCACGACCCCCGCATGCGTCCCACCCCCCGCAAGGGTCCCAACCCCCCACATGCACCCCGCCCCTGGGCATGCACGCACGGCCCCCACATGCGCCTCCCCCCCGGGCATGCATGGTAGAGATCTGAAGACCAACTGGCTGGCGAGAGGCATGTGCACATGCGTGGCGGAGCTGAGCTGGGCCGAGGGCTCGCATGCCCATAGAGAGGGAGCTGCGTGCCACCTCTGGCACTCATGCCATAGGTTCGCCATCATGGGACTAGATGAACTAATTCTTATTTTATTGTAAGGCTTACATTAACAGAATCTTGCAAGTCTAAAAGTACAAACTTCTCATTGCCACTTTTAACTTGCTTGATCCTTCCTAAGTTTCTTTCTCTGACCATTAAGCCACTGGGAGCTCCTGAGTCCTGCCTCTCTTGTCTGATGGTTTCCGAGGCAGCACCTCCTTCCCTCCCCAAGGAAGGTCATGCACACATTCTATTACACCAGGCTACATTTTTAAAAATTTTTTGATTTATATGCCGCCCTTCTCCGGAGACTCAGGGCGGCTTACAATGCGTTAAGCAATAGCCTTCATACTTTTGTATATTTATACAAAGTCAGCTTATTGCCCCCACAAACTGGGTCCTCAATTTACCTACCTTAGAAAGGATGGAAGGCCTGGTGAGATTCGAACTTTCAGTAATTGCAGACAGCTGGTGTTAATCACAATGCTATCAGTCTGCTGAGCCACCAGGCCCTTCTTTACATTCAAGTAAACTTTCCCCTTTTCCCCTGCAGTTCTCTTATGAAACCTAATCAAGGGTTTCTCGGAAATTGTTTGAAACATCCTTCCTTAAAGCATCAGTTAGTATGTTTTGCTATGAATGTACTCCTCTCACATACTTTGTTTACCTTTCCTCCATGTTCCAACAACTTCTCTTGATCCTTCAGCCCCAAACATCTACTGAAGAAACAATAACACTAAGAATAGTGGAAAGCTGTAGCAGGCTAATATTTTATTTTGGTTGGGGGAAAAGGGCATGTGCTAGAAGAGAGGAGTTAAGGTTAAGAGTTCAGCCTCCAAGATACTTAATTTATTTGTTGTTGTTTTTTTAAAGGGGGATCACTAAGTCAGTGGTTTATAATTCGTTTTCCAGGAAAGACCATCTAAGATTTCAGAGTGAAATCGGCTGGGTGTACTTGTACTCTGTAAACTGAACAAGGACGGCCATTTTGGTGGATAAATCCAAGGAAAGAAGAAAGGAAATGTAGTCGGTCCCACAAAAGTACACAAATAGTTTTTCTTACTTTTATTCATTTGGGAGAATGTTAAGTTCCTCCTGCATGAACAACTTAATGCAAATCTGTTTAACCTAAGTATCGTTGATTTTTCTTTTGCTACAATCCCATTTTCCCCACATTAACATTTTGTTCATGAGGCAAGAAAAGAGATGGAAGAAGTCATGTGAAAAAGATGACAAATGAGTGGAAAATGCCTTGGACCTCTTATAAAGCCATAATGGAGACAAGATTATTGCATGAGTAGGCGAAGTCTAATCTTCTAGCTTTTCGGTCTTTTTTCTTACGCCAGAAAATCTGTTGACAGAATGGGAATACCTGCAGAATGTCTTTAGATAGAAAAGGTTAGGCACTCTCTATTGGGAAGCACTATAATAATATACAAAATGCAGGAGGTCCATGGCTATATTTTTCCTTGCAAAGAAACAAGGACTCCCTTTGAAACTTTCAGCTGCTGCTGCTAATGCACACAGCTTCGTACGATCCTGTCTTCATGTTACCTGCTTAATCCATTTTTGGAGGGTTGCACAATACACTGAACCATAAATTAAGAGGGCGTGACTGGCAAAGCAGAGCAAAGTTAATCTGACACGCACTTGCCTGCCTGTAAACTAGTCTTCCTTAACTTTGTATCTTCTAGATCAGGGGTTTCAAACTCAAGGGCCGGGGGCCAGATCCGGTCCGCGGGGTGCTTAGATCTGACCTGAGGGGCTGCCCTGGAAACAGCGAAGGACTGGCCCACGGTGCCTCTGCCAGTGAAAACAGAGCTCGGGAGGACTGCCCCTCCAGAGCTCTATTTTCGCTGGCAGAGGGTTGCAGGAGGTTGTCACAGCTGAAAATGGATCTCGGGAGCCCATTTTCGCTGGCAGAGCACCTGGGCCATCACAGGCGCCCCCGACGTCGAGCTGGCTACGCCCACCCCAGCCCCCTGAGATCAAACACAACCCTAATGTGGCCCTCAATGAAATGAAGTTTGACACCCCTGTTCTAGATTCATTGGCAATGCAATTTCCAGAATTCCCAGTCTTTCCAACTGGGAGTTTTAGTGCTCTCAATAAATCAGGACACAATATGCACAGAAACATAATAGCAATAGCAATAGCACTTATATACCGCTTCATAGTGCTTTTACAGCCCTCTCTAAGCGGTTTACAGAGTCAGCATATTTCCCCCAACAATCTGGGTCCTCATTTTACCCACCTCGGAAGGATGAGTCAACCTTGAGCCGGTGAGATTTGAACTGCCAAACTGCAGCTAGCAGTCAGCTGAAGTAGCCTGCAGTATTGCACTCTAACCACTGTGCCACCTTGGCTCTACACAGAGATGCAACCTATTTGCCCAGTGTCCAACTATTGAGATATTCCTAAGAAGTTAAAATTTAAGAGATGAGGAAGCCCATGCACCAGAAGATGAGAAATTCATTTCAATGCTGTATTCTGTCTATCGGTTGGTTGGTTGGTTTCTGTTCTTCTTGCCGCCTTTTTATTTTTCCCCAGTCAGTGCTTCACTGTAAAGTACAGAGATTAAAATATTGCTTGGCAGTCATGTTCTCTGATTTTACAAAGCTTTTCTCTGGATTTCAGGCGATCCGAGTCTTAAGAAAATGGCAGGCAGGTGCCCAATCTGGTAGCAGGCTTGAGATAGAAATGGGTACCCCAGAAACTGTTGGCAAGATCAGACCGTACAGTGCCATGGGCAACTTCTTATAATTGAAGAAACAGTTCTGTGATTGAATGTAGGTCAGTCAGAAAGATTTGATCACTGAATTAAATTAAAAGAGAAGGGAAGGGAAGTTTTCAGTGTGTAAAATGCAGAAGAAAGCTCTGCTGGCCCCATGCCCGTAGTTGTTTTGGCGGATCTGATTCCTTGCTTGAAAATTGCATAACACAACGGGGGGATGGTTCCATCAGTCACTGTCATCTATGTTCCGGATCTGCCCCGTTTCCCAAAGCTGAGCCAGGGCGCTCCTCCGGCAGATGGGCTTGATGGATTTCACAACCTGTGATAAAGCAGAGCCTCCATCAGATAGGAAGAACACTCCTGTTTCAGCCTTTCCATATACACACACACACACACGGAGAGAAAGAGAGCTGACTCACGGTTTGCCCATACTCAGGTACAGTATTTAAGATCCACCATTAGGCACAATATGTAGCAGCATGTTAAGACCTTGATTAACTCCCCAGAGAAGCCAAGCAGGACTGGATCTGCTCTGTAAGTGGCTGGGAGATCATCACGTCATCTCAGGGATACAAACTGAGTCAAAAAATCATTCCAGAACAAAGCAAGAGCCAACCACTTCTAATGCCTTCGCCAATAAAATTATATGGTGTGCCCACTTAGTCACTGGGGCGAAGCTCAGCTTGGAATTAGAGATTGGATGGATTGGGTATGACTCTGGAGACTTTTCTGCAATGGTCAAAGATTTTCAGAAAGTAAATCTATGGGAATAGTTATGAGAACTCAATTCTCTTTAGATGCCACCTCTTCCAGCCTTGGGAGACAGAACAGGAGACAGGAGGGAAGTCAAGTCAATTGCCAAGCTCTTTCCAGGCTGGATCAGCCTAAATAGTTGAACTAATGAGTTTAAATTAAGTTTAATATCTATTACTATTGTTGTATGTATGTACATTGAGAGCTTACGCACCGGAAACAAATTCCTTGTGTATTTAATCACACTTGGCCATGAAAGAATTCTATTCTATTTTGTAAAGAATTCTGTTCTAAAGATTTGGTTCTACCAGCTGGCTTGGGGCTCTAATGGAGTGTCAGGCCTGGAAGCCATCTTTTGCTTTGGGCCTTCAGGCCTGCCACATTTACTACTGTGGGAAATTGGGAGGGAGGATTGTATGGAGCATGGGTGACATATAGTCATAATAACATTCCTTTCTCAGAGAGTCAAGGACATCTTGCCCTGCACCTGGAGGGGTGTGGCTGGGAGGCATCTCCAGTTGAGACGGTGCTTTGATTGGACCATGTGATGGACATGTGGGTGCTGGGCAGGGACTTGGACTTTTCTTTGAGCAGGGAAAACCTGGAAGCTCTCAGATTCGGGTTTTCCCAGATGTGCCAATATGACATCTCTAATAAAATGGAACTTTGAGGAACTTCAAGCCTCGGAGTCTTCTTTAATTGGGAGTGTTACTTGGAACCCTGACATGGAGGATGGTTTCACATTAGAAGTAGTTGACAGACTAATAACAGATTCCACCTTCCCATCTACTCGTCCTACTCCCTCCCACTCAGTGGTGGGTTGCCCCCGGTTCGCACCTGTTCTATAGAACCGGTAGTAAAACCGGTGGGAGTCTCCACCCACTGACCCTGACATCATCAAAACGTTTCTGTGCTTGCGCAGAAGAGCCCCCTGCGCGTGCGAGCAAAGCGAGCACACACATGTAGCCCATTGCGAACCGGTAGTAAAGGTAAGTAGAACTCACCCCTGCTCCCACCTAATCTTTTAGTTGGGGCTGAATATTTATGCAGGATCCAATCTGAGTCAGTCACCGGATCAGAGATTTTGTCTTCCAAACTTTCAGACTTCCCATCTTTAGGGAACTTCTCTCTAGCAGTGTGTGTGCTGTTCTGTGTGTGGTAATACACAAAGAAATACATACAGCTCCGAAGACAAAACCTCTGGTCCCAGTAACTGACCCAGATTGGATCTGGCTGCATTATCCTGGGACCCATATATTCGCCTTCATTTGTTGAATATTTATCTGTTTAGTTTATTTAGTTTGTATTATGTATAGGTTTTGTAAAATTTTATCTTTTTAATATTGTAAACCACCCAGTGTTACCCTGTGATAAGATGGGCAGTCAATAAATTTGATAAATAAATAAAATAAATAAAACTACGGATGATAAGGAAAAGGGCTACTGCCAATATAGTCAGTGAAGGGTATCTGATTTTTACCCGTGATAAAACTGCTGCAATTTTACCAAAATTGCCTGACTGACAGGTGCTGTCGGTCAGGCAATGTCGGCTGGTGGCCCCCAGGGGGAGAGCCTTCTCTGTGGGGGCACCCGCCCTGTGGAATGAGCTACTTCCTGGGATACGACTGATCCTGGACCTCCGGACCTTCCGTAAGGCCCTGAAGACTTATTTTTTCCACCAAGCCGGCCTAGCCTAAATGGCTCTTAATTGGGATTTTAAATTTTATAGACTTGGGGGTTTTAAATTGGGAAGCCAATGATTTAATTCTTTTTAATTATCTTAACTTTTGTATTGTATGTTTTTTAATTTTGGCTGTTCACCACCCTGAGTCCCTTCTGGGAGAAGGGCGGTATACAAATTAAATTAATAAATAAATAATAAAATAAATTTATTGGTTGCTTAAGGAGAAAATACTACTGTAACACTAAGAAAGTTAAGAATAACTTCCGTCTGTCTGTAGTATGGGCCAGTGATGAGATGAAGGCTCTGTCAAGGGAAACCACAGGTAAAAATGCTGACCACAGAAGGTGGTTAGATGTCAGGGGGAAAGCTCCTCAAACTAGTATCTTTTTCCTATTACCCCAAAGTAATGCCAAGATATATTTCTTCCCACAAAGTTACCTCAGTGTCAATCTCATCGTTGAGTTCAATACCAGCATACTGAAAAATAGGGAAAATGGAACAAGGAGTTAGACAAGAAGTTAGAAGGCAGGAGCTAAAACCATAGTTTGCAAACTGGGGAAGGTTGACTTTCCGCCAATATTTTTTAGGCTAAAACGAACCTACTGCAGTTCCTGACTGGCAGCCTTCTTGCAGCCAAGCATGGCATGCAGATAGTCTTTTGATATAGAACTGTAACTGAGCCTGGCAATTACGGTCATAAGTTGTGACTGTCATAAAGAGAGTCATCACATTTTTATGACTCTGTGGTCTCTAGGTAGGGCACAAAGAGAATGTTCTACCTCCAGCTTGAAAAAGATTTCCTGATTTTGCTTTAGATAGAGCAGAGGTGGGCAACTATGGCCCTTTTATGACGTGTGGACTTCAATTCCCAGAATTCCTGAGCTAACATGGCTGGCTCAGGAATTCTGGGAGTTGAAGTCCACAAGTCATAAAAGGGCCATAGTTGCCCACCCCTGAGATAGAGTATTACACCCACTCTTACAGTTCCTTATATAAACTGAACGTGCAAAGAGCACCAGTCCATATTTACATTCAGAAATGTGTATTTCATTAGGGTATTTCTGAAGCAAATCACATTGTGAATAATAATTATGATGTTAGGCTGACCTTGTAGAAACACAGATTCTGGCCTCTTTAGTTATGGAGAAAATAATACCTTAACCAAGGAACTACCAAGGAGAAAATTATGTACCCCACCCACTGGGTGGGCTAGCTACTGCATATAAACAGGGAACAAACCTCACACTCTTCCAACTCTGTTACTGTTACTTCGCTAGCACTGATGGTGTTACCTGGTTGGGTAATGAAACATCTGTAGGTAAATAACTATGCCCAGAGAGCACCAAGAACTCCACAGTTCAACCCTGAGCTACAGAGATATATATACAGAGATACAGAGATAGCACTGTTCCAATATTTGAGGGGCTCCTACAAAGATGAGGTGGTCAAACTATTTTCCAAAGCACCAGAAGGCAAGGCAAGAAACAATGGTTGGAAACTTACCAAGGAGAGAAGCAATCTAGAACTAAGAAATTTCCTAACTGTGAGAGCAATTAATCGGTGGAATAGCTTGCCTTCAGAAGTTGCAGGTGCTCCATCACTGAAGGCTTTCAAAAAGAGACTGGACAACCATTTGTCTGAAAGGATATAGGGCAGTGATGGCTAACCTTTTTGCCGTCGCGTGCCAAAAGCGGGGGGAATGCGGGGGGGGGGTGTCTCTTGCGCGTGCCCACACCCATAATTCAATGCGCCCCCCCACTGTGCATGTGCATGTGACCCCACGATAGGTTCACCATCACATATATAGGGTCTCCTGCTCAAGCAGGGGTTTGGACTAGAAGATCTCCGAGGTCCCTTCCAATTCTATTATTCTATGTTCTAAGATATTCTCTTCTATTGGAGTTTTGTGGTTCTGGTCACAAATGAGCCTGGCTTATCCATCATTCCTGCTGACTCTAATAGCAGTCAAAAAAATCCTTCTGGTCTTTAAGGTACTTCTATTGATCCTTGGCCAGGAATGTTTTGAGATAAGCTATCTCTGATCTTGGAGGCTTCGTGTAGCTATTCTGACCAACTGTTATTGCTAGAAACTCCTCTTCCCATGTAAGGCCACCTCCATTAATTCAAATCTTTTCCCGCTCATTACCTTCCCATCCTCCTTCAGTCTTATCCTGGATTGTCTTGGACTTTGGCAACTTCTAAAATTTGATTCAGCGGAGTTTGTTGTCAGACTGGGTCGATACAGGATGGGTGAAGTAGGTAATCTCACAGGTGAATTAGGAACAAAAACAGGTGAAGAGGAGACAGAGTACCTGCCAGTATCTCCCGATGCAGCTGAGGAAGAAAAATATAGGAGTGTTAAGGACCAGCCAAGCCATTGCTTCACCATGCCCTTGCTAATCCCAGGAGGAGTCAAGTGGAAAGAAGAAAGAGAGGAGCTTGTGTTTGGAGTGAAATATGAACTCAGAGCTTTCTCGTTTTTTTTTAAAAAAAATTATTGAATATTTTACATTTTTAAAACCGAAAACATAATAGAAAAAGACCAAAAAAAGGAAAAAGAAAAAGAAAAAGAAAAAAAGAACATACACATACACCAAACGGTAAAATACAAAACATAAATAACAACATTATATAATATTTTACAACTTTCTGCATCGACAATTATCTTTACTTTTGAATGCAATCTTCCTAATCATTTTCTTATTCTTGCGTAACCATACTGAGCAATGGGGGAAGCCAGATTTGCTTAATGATCACATGATTCCCTTAACAACTGCAGTGGTTTGCTTCTCAACTGTGGGGAAAAAAGGTCATAAAACGGGCAAATCCTCACTGAATAACTGCCTTGCTGAACAATGGGCATTATGATTCCAATTGTGATTGTAAGTCGAGAATCAAGGTCCCTTCCCACTTTATTGTTCTGTTAATGACTTGCATATGATTGACACCATGTCAGTTTGCCTCCAGCTGTTCCCTTTTTTCCTGCCTAGGCAGGGGGTTGGGCTAGAAGACCTCCAAGGTCCCTTCCAACTCTGATTCTATTCTATTCTATTCTATTCTATTCTATTCTATTCTACTCTACGCTACGCTACGCTACGCTATGCTACGCTACTCTACTCTACGCTACGCTACGCTACTCTACTCTACTCTACTCTACTCTACTCTACTCTACTCTACTCTATTCTATTCTATTCTATTCTATTCTATTCTATTCTATTCTATTCTATCTCCCAGAATAATAAATATGGGGTGATGGAAGTCTTTTGGATATGAAATAAATTCCTTTTTTAGCCTTTTAAATTGTCAATGGGCTTGACATGTTTTAAATGTTTTAAATTTAAGTTTGAATGTTTTTGGGCCAAAGTCATATAATTCTTTTAAAAATTTTAAATTTTGTATTGGTATGTGTTTTAGTTCTGGCTGTGCACCGCCCTGAGTCCGCCCTGAGGAGAAGGGTGGGATACAAATTGAATAAAATAAATAAATAAAATAAATAAATACAGACCTGCAAGTGACCATTGCTGGGATTTCATTTTCCCCACTCCTGCTTTAAGTTTAGAAGACTGACCTTTTCCATCAACGGTACATTTTTATATCAAATTGTGGTCACCGTGGCACCTATTCTCCTCTAACTCTGCTCCCAATCCTTGGCTATATGATTTATTGATAGATAGTCCCCAGTTTAAGTCTGCCCTTGAGTCAAATAAGTATATCAACCCGAACATCATTATTGTGCAGTACTGAACTGCATATACCGGTAATTAGTATTGTGTAATGAACTTGAATCATTGTGTATTTCACTCAAATTTTTATTATTTATTTATTTAAGGAAATTTGCATGGTCGCCCACTCACTCTCAGAGACTCAGGGCAGCTCACAGAAATAAAAACCAATTTACAAACAAGGGGAAAAAAACCAATATCCCCTATTCCCATGGAGACAATAATCAAACGAGCCACTTGATGGACTCCATCCCACTCTGGGTTTTTCAAGTCGGTTGGCAAAACCAGGTTTTTAGAGCCTTCTGAAAGAACGTCAAAGTGGGGGCCACTTCTGCTACAATAGATGCCATCCATAACTGTGGGTTGTCCTTAAACCGAGGCATTCTTAACCAGAGGACTTGCTGTATTGAAATGGAGATGACATCACCAATGAGAATTCATGGACCACCTTTTCCTATAGCCTATTTTTACAGAAAGAGCTAGGAAAAAGTAAAAGTTCTAAGTTTAGGCGAGAAAAACAAAATGCACAGGTACAGTATATGTGGTACCTCGCTCAATAGTGGTAACTGTGAGAGGGATCTTGGAGTCCTAGTGGACAACCATTTAAATATGAGCCAGCAGTGTATGGCAGCTGCCAAAAAAGCCAACGCAGTTCTAGGCTGCATAAACAGAGGGAGAGAATCAAGATCACGTGAAGTGTTAATACCACTTTATAAGGCCTTGGTAAGGCCACACTTGGAATACTGCATCCAGTTTTGGTCGCCACGATATAAAAAAGATGTGGAGACTCTAGAAAGAGTGCAGAGAAGAGCAACAAAGATGATTAGGGGACTGGAGACTAAAACATATGAAGAACGGTTGCAGGAACTGGGTATGTCTAGTTTAAGGAAGAGAAGGACTAGGGGTGACATGATAGCAGTGTTCCAATATCTCAGGGGCTGCCACAAAGAAGAGGGAATCAAGCTGTTCTCTAAAGCACCTGAGGACAGGACAAGAAGCAATGGATGGAAACTAATCAAGGAGAGAAACAACTTAGAACTAAGGAAAAATTTCCTGACAGTTAGAACAATTAAGCAGTGGAACAAGTTGCGTCCAGAGGTTGTGAATGCTCCAACAGTGGAAGTTTTTAAGAAGAGATTGGATAATCATTTGTCTGAAGTAGGGTTTCCTGCCTAAACAGGAGGTTGGACTAGAAGACCTCCAAGGTCCCTTCCAACTCGGTTATTCTATTCTAAACAGCCTTCCCTGGTAGCAAGGATCAGTTACCTATCATTTCACCAATTACATTGCGACTGTTGTGGTTTTGATTATAGCAATAGCAGTAGCACTTAGACTTATATACCGCTTCACAATGCTTTACAGACCTCTCTAAGCGGTTTACAGAGTCAGCATAATTGCCCCCAACACTCGGGGTCCTCATTTTACCCACCTCAGAAGGATGGAAGGCTGAATCAATCTTGCATTATGATTTAGAAACGTTAAGTTGTCTTTGAAAATAGAGGCCCACCTTCTCTAACAGAGTGCCCTCCATACCTCAGGTGTTCTGCTTGTAACTCCCAGAACTGCTATTCTAATATTTGGAGAATACAGATAGTCCTCGACTTACAACCACGATTGAGATCAGAATTTCCGTTGTTAAGTAGGGCAATTATTAGGTGAGTCATATCCTATTTTACAGTCTTTTTCTTTTTGCCATGGTTACGTGAATCATTGCAATTGTTAAATGAATCATGAAGTCCTTCAGAATCTGGCCTCTCCCATTGTCTCTGCATGTGGGAAGCCACCTGGGAGGGTCATCATAATGACCACATGACCCCAGGACATTGCAAATGTTTGTAAACACATGCCGATTGCCAAAAGTCTGAATTTTGATCACATGACCATGGAGATGCTGCAATGGTCGTAAGTGGCGGACCTATCGTAAGTCATTTTATTCACTGCCATGCAGAGGTGGGTTTCAGCAGGTTCTGACCAGTTCTGGAGAACCAGTAGTGGAAATTTTGAGTAGTTCGGAGAACTGGTAGTAAAAATTCTAACTGGCCCCGCCCGCATCTATTCTCTGCCTCCCGAGTCCCAGCTGATCGGGAGGAAATGGGGATTTTGCAGTATCCTTCCCCTGGATTGGGGAGGGAATGGAGATTTTACAGTATCCTTCTCCTGGAGTGGGGTGGGAATGGAGATTTTACAGTATCCTTCCCCTGGAGTGAGGTGGGAATGGATATTTTACAGTATCCTTCCCCTGCCATGCCCACCAAGCCATGCCCACCAAGCCATGCCACGTCCACCAAGCCACACCCACAGAACCGGTAGTAAAAAAATTTGAAACCCACCACTGCTGCCATGGTAACTTTGAACAGTCGCTAAGCAAATGGTTGTAAATTGAGGACTTCCTTCACTATTTTAATTCACTGTAAACAAGCTTTAAATAAAGAGTGATGAGATACATTAATCTCAGTAATTTAAATCAGGGGTCTCCAACCTTGGCAACTTTAAGCCTGGCGGACTTCAACTCCCAGAATTCCCCAGCCAGTAAAGAATTTCCCAGAACCCAAATCTGGCTGGGAAATTCTGGGAGTTGAAGTTTGACCGGCTTAAAGTTGCCAAGGTTGGAGACCCCTGATTTAAAGTGAGGAAAAAGGCCTGAAAAATGCAGGACAGATGGAAGAATATTGTCCCAATTTTTAAAAAAACTCAGTTAAAGGAAGAGTAGTGTTATATTAAAAGCAGCTTATCTGTTCTACCCAGAACAAGATTTTAGGACAGAGCTAAAAAAAAACAGAACTGCTAAGAAGAAAGCTCCTGCGATTTGGACCAACCATGTCAAAAGCTGACTTGCACTCTTATTAACTCAGTTAAACTGGAAGTCTCTTGAGCAGGAACCACCCTTGAACAATACAATCCCGTGCTTGTAAGGAGACATGTTCCAAAAATGACAGAATGCACTATGGTGTCTCCTCCACTTATGCTACATTGTTGGTCAGAAGAACCCACCACGCTTTCATCGTTATTCTCCGTTTCTCTTACCTGAACTTTGAGATGATGACACCCATGAACTTGGGAGCTCCTGTGCAGTCAAACTGATTTTTCTCCTCTGCTCTTGAAGTTCCAGTTCTCTCTGCAAAGAATCCTGGATCTCCTGGTCAATCAGAATGGACGTCCGGGGCCGCCATGTCTTCACAGTATAAAGCTCTTCTCGTGGAGCTGGTTTCTGCAGTTTCTGCTCTTTTCTCTGAAGGCTTTGGGGTCCCTGATCTTCAGGAAAAGAGAACTGGCATTTGTGAACCGGAATGGCAAAATGTTGCTTCTTTAACACGAACTTGTCTCTTGGAGCTTTCAAATCTTGGCTACAGGGAGGACATCGGCTAGTAGGGAAATCCATCTTCGGGGAAGAAGCAGTGGAGCATGTTTTTAAGGATGGCTCATTTCCTGGGGTTTTCTTGCCAAAAGTTGGAACTGAAGAGGGCCGATGGATCTCCGAGCTCCAGTTCACATTCTGGCTTGCAATCCCCTCTCCAGGTGGGACAACGTTGCAACAGAGTGTTGCAGAGTCTCCATGGAAGGTCTCCAGCAGCTCCCTCTGTTTCTTTTGTTTGCCCAGAGAAGGTAAGGGAACCTCTTCCTCTTCTCGCTCAAAAAGTTTCCGACGTTCTGCAAGCTCTTGGCGAAGTCCTCGGTCATACATTCCCAGCAACCTCCCTTCCTTTTGCAGGTCCTCCTCACGCTTGGCTTCCTGTTCAATCTCCCTCTGGACATAAAAGGAAATGTGAGATTTATCCTTCCCTTTCCTGGAGGAAGCCGGAGAAGAGACTGGGGAGGAGAGGAGCGGCTTGGATCGGATCTCCACCAGATCATCTCTGGTATTAATTCGCTGGATCCCCCTCTCCTTCCAAAGGTTCTCTTCTCTCTCCATGGCCAATCTGATTTCCCGCTCAATGGGAGTCTCATTCCAAACTTCTGGCTCTTTTGCAGGATCTTGGCTTTTGGCCAGAGGATTTCCTGATTCTTTCTCGAATGTCCTCTCATTAACGTTCCCTGTGCTCATATCAACCTCCAAGCCAGAGGGCATCTTTTCTGCAGAAACGAAAGTGGTCCCTAAATAAGAACTGGCTTTTCTTTGGGGGAGAACGAAAAGGTCTCCTCCTATTGAGTTTTGTCTCAATTGTCTCTGGCTGGACTCATCTAATTCCTTATCATTCCTTGGCATTTCAGGATTCTGGGGTTCTTTGCTCCAATAAGCATGGCTTGTTGCCTTCAGCTCCCTTGGAGAAGGAACGTATCTCTTGGGTTCCAACAACATCTTTGGATTAGTCTTTTCCAGTGTGAGAAACTGCTGTCGTGCAGCAGCAAAATTTATCTGTTCTGTGTCTATATTCTCAGGATTCACAGGGATGATTGTCCAATCTGGGGAAAGATTGTCAAAACAAAGAGCAAAGCTAGTGGAGTTGTTCTTTCTGGGTTCTGTGGTCACCTTGCCAAGAGAGGACATGTCGATGGCTTCCAACTCATTTGTAGAGCTCCATTTTTCTGCCATTGTGTTGCTTTTTCTCACAACTTGTCTCCTGATAACCTCCTGCCGTTCATCTTCCAGTTCTTTGGCTATTTCTGGCGAGACATCTTTGGAGGGAATCTTATACTGCAACTCCTCATCATCTTCTTCATAGAGTCTGGAAGGTTTCTTCTCCCCTTTGTAAGCCCGGATGTCATAGTGTGAGCCAGATCTGAGCACTTCCAACTTGGATTCTCTATCTGGGGATGGCATCCAGTGATCTGTCCTTCTATTTATAGTTTTGGTTATGCACCAGGACTGATCTTCTGTGGGATCTAACATCTTCCATCCATTTTCAACCTTCAACTCGGGTTGACCCAAGTCAAGAATCTCACCTTCTTTGTCCTCAGATCTCATTTCTTGTTGTAAGACCACTTCTTGACCACTCTGCTCATGTTGATCTTCATAACCGAGCTCTGTGTTCTGGGGGGAATTGAAGGGAATGTCCCTGGTGCTGGACTTCATATTTGGAAGAGAGATTTCATAGAGGTTGTCTTCAGTTTGTGGAAGATGTCCGTTAGTGATTGGGATCTCTTGGGTCATCCAGTTTTCTTGAGAAATATTTGCATCAACAACTGGGCTTTGTCGATTCTGAAGGACAAGAGAGGACATTTAGATAAATTACATTTCTTAATATATATTACACAAAACAGAGTAGTGCTTAAGACAGTGATGGCTAACCTTTTTGCCATCGCGTGCCAAAAGCGGGGGAGCGTGAGGGGGTGTCATGCGCACGCGTGCCCACACCCATAATTCTATGTGCCCTGCTCCCTTGCACATGCGCATGACACCCCCCAATTTTGGCATGCGATGGCACGGTGAGCCCATTTTTCGCCTTCCCCTGGCTCCAGAGCCTTTCTAGGAGCCTGGGGAGGGTGAAAACGGCCTTCCCCATCTCCCCTGGAGGACCTCCGGAGGCCAGAAACATCCAGTTAGCTGACTTCTGGCAGGACCGGAAAGCCGTTTTTGCCCTCCCCAGGCTCCTAGAAAGGCTCTGGAGCCTGGGGAGAGCGAAAAACGGGCCTTCCCCCCACCCCCGAGGTATTCTGGAGGCAGTAAACAGCCTGTTTCCCTACTTCTGGTGGGCCCAGAAGGCCCGAAAATCAGCTGAGCTGGCGTGCCCACTGATATGGCTCTGCGTGCCACCTGTGGCACGCGTGCCATAGGTTCGCCATCACGGGCTTAAGACATTGAACTGAAACTGGGAAGACTCAAGTTCCACTCTGAATTCTTTGGGTGATTTTGGGCCTCCTCTCCTCTCCTCTCCTCAAGTTACCACCTAGGATTGTGTGATAGAGATATGGTAACCATATGGTAGATATAGTTTCAGGATTAAATCTTAGAAAGTGGATCTCTTTCCCTAGAATTTCATGAGTCCTTTTGTGCAGAGCAGAGAATTTATGAGTATCTACATGTTAAAATGTCTTCCACCATAGCCAGTCGTCCCCACCCCTCTCCACATGACTGTCACTGGCTTATAAAAAAGAAAATGTCCACAGTATAATAGTATAATAATAATTACAAAGTAATCAGCACTGATTTTTAATTTAGAACCAGAGCAACATATAAATACTTCTTATGATGCTTTCCTAATTGGTTCCAAAGGCCCTCTGGAAGAGTTCCTTCTTGACCTGCTGTTGGAAAGTAGGTTTAGGCTTATTAAGGAATCTTCACATTAAGTTGTTAAAGCCTTCTTTTCCTTTCCATCAAAGGGCTTAGACCAATTTATCTGAATGAAATTGTTCTTACAGTAACACCATGGAGTAGAGGAGAAAGGCAAATCTAAGAAGGATTTTATGGCTAAGTAAGAACTCTCACTTCTAATGCTACCTTGGGCATCCAGAGCTACGAACCAATGACCTTTTGTGATTCTTCATCATCTTAGTGACCAGAAAAAGTGCAAACACCACAGATTTCTTCAAAGGGAAGGGAAACACAGGGACTCCCAAACATTGTGGTACCCTGAGCATCTGCAATAGTGATGGCGATCCTATGACATGTGTGTCAAAGCTGACATGCCACAAAGTTTGGGTGACACGCCAGCATTCACCAACACCCTCAAAAACACACTTCAGCCGAAGAGATTGTAGAAAAAATGCTTTTAAAAGCCTCTGATGATCCCAGCTGAGCCGTGCGATCCATCAGAGGCTTCTTTTTTTTTTTACTTTTAAAAGCATTTTTTCGGCAGAAGAGGTTGTAGAAAAAATGCTTCTAAAAATAAAAAAAAAGCCTCTGATGATCGCATGGCTCAGCTGGGCATGGGGGTGGGCAGGGATTTTTGCTACCAGTTCTCCGAACCACCTGCCACCATCGCTACTAGATTGGGTGATCTGGTCTGAACCGGGAGCATTTCACCCCTGCCGTGGAGGCTGTGTGAGAATGGGTTTGCTATCACACGAACTCTGGACTCTCCAGAAATCAAACAAGGGGGCCGTGTTCTCACGTGGTCTCCAGAGCCTCCAAAAATGGTTTTGTTTTACTTATATTTCACTTTTGTAATTATCTGACATTTCCTTATATAATACATAACTTCACACATCATTGGACTGCATTTTCTAAATAAATGAATATGTGGAGAACTGTTTCTCTTTTGTTGAGGGAAGGTGCCACACTAGCAGAGTCAAGTTAAGCATTTGCTGAATTTTTGACGTGCTGCCATCACTACCCTACAATGAGAAATTATTCATACGAATAAAGTTAATGAGTCAAGAGTTGGGCAAGAAATAGAATAGCATGCAGTAAAATAATATACAATAGAATAACAGGGTTGGAAGAGACCTTAGAGGTCTCTATACCAAGAGACCCTATACCAGGGGTGAAATCCAGCAGGTTCTGACAGGTTCTGGAGAACCGGTAGCGGAAATTTTGAGTAGTTCGGAGAACTGGTAGTGGAAATTTTGGGTAGTTTGGAGAACCGGCAAATGCCACCTCTGGCTGGCCCCAGAGTGGGGTGGGAATGGAGATTTTGAAGCATCCTTCCCTGCCATGCCCACCAAGCCACGCCCACCAAGCCATGCCCACAGAACCGGTAGTAAAAAAAGTTGGATTTCACCACTGCCCTATACCATTCTGAACAAATGGCTGTCCAATCTCTTCTTAAAAGCCTCCTGTGATGGAGCGCCCACAATTTCTGGAAGAAAACTGTTCCACTGATTAATTGTTCTCACTGCCAGGAAGTTTCTCATTAGTTTTAGGTTGGTTCTCTCCTTGGTAAGTTTTCATCTGTTAATTCTTGTCCCGCTTTCAGGAGGACAAGATCAACCCACTTTTCTCTGTGACAGCCCCTCAAATACTGGAAGACTACTATCATGTCAACCCCTAGTCCTTCTGTTAGACCAGACATATCTAGTTCCCGCAACTGTTCATTGTACAATTTAGCCTCCAGAGCAGAGGTGGGTTTCAGCAGGTTCTGACCAGTTTGGGAGAACCGGTAGCGGAAATTTTGAGTAGTTTGGAGAACCAGTAGTAAAATTTCTGACTGGCCCCGCTCCCATCTATTCTCTGCCTCCCAAATCCCAGCTGATCGGGCGGAAATGGGGATTTTGCAGTATCCTTCCCCTGGAGTGGGGTGGGAATGGAGATTTTACAGTATTCTTTCCCTGCCATGCCCACCAAGTCACGCCCACCAAGCCACACCCACAGAACCGGTAGTAAAATTTTTTGAAACCCACCAGTGCTCCAGAGCCCTTATCAGCTTTGTCCTATATGTTGAGACCTTTAATAATGCCTACCCCATTATTATCCCAATGCCCCAGGGACCCCTCAACTCTGCAGTCTTGTTGCGGACTTGTGCAGGCAAGGTTGGGCAAAATTTTGACAGACTCCTATTTTACCTACATAAGCTTAATCAGGTTCTGGGAAAAAATTGCAATTTGTCACCCCTTGCTCAAGCTACCATTCTTCCTTTACATGTGTTGATTTGTTACCGGGGAGGGGTGTGTGTGAAGAGGTATCTGCCATTGAAATTGAGACCTAAGATGATGTCTGTTTTGGACAAAATTCTGCAAAGCTTTAAATATAAGGCACCAATATCCCAGAATCCATGGTCCAGCCAAGCTGGCTACCCTGTGATAAAAGATGAGTAACTATTACCCTCTACTGGATGAATCAAGAGTTTCAATTTATGTTGAATGGGTGAGAGAAAAAACAAAACCTGCAAAAACAAACATTTACTTTTTACACAATCCACGATTAGCAGAATCCAAGCTTATTTTTAAAGATTGTGTAACCAGAATGGAGGCTTTTGTCATTGTGACACAGCATTCGTTTTGCAATTATGAGGGGCAAAGCAAAAAGTATATGTGGTAAATTGTTTCACAGCAAGAAAACGGTATACAGGTAGTCCTTGACTTATGACTGCGATTGACCCCAAAATTTATGTTGTTAAGTGAGTTTGGCCCCATTTTATGACCTTTTTTGACACAGTTGTTAAGTGAATCATTGCAGTTGTTAAGATTAGCAACCCAGTTGTTAAGTGAATCTGGCTTCCCCATTAATGTTGCTTGTCAGCGGGTCAGCAAAAGGTGATCATATGACCCTGGGACACCACAACTGTCATAAATACAAACCAGTTGCCAATTATCTGAATTTTGATCACATGCCCATGGGGATGCTGCAAACGTAAGTATGAAAAATGATCATAAGTCACTTTTTTCAGTGTCGTTGTAACTTTGAACAGTCACTAAACAAACTGTTGTAAATCAAGGACTACTTGAACTTTAAACCCAAAGGTCATGCAACTTCCAATTAAACTCCACTCTCCAGTCTTGGATATTCAACAGTTGGGTAAAGATGCTTTAATGAGGGATGATTTCAGCAAGAAGAAATCTGCTAGTTTCCTTTTTCATTCTTCAACAACAACAAAAAAAAGGAATCTGGATTGAAGGGGTGGAAAACTGGGTTTAAACTAACCAAATAAGTTTCACTAATACATATATGCTTCTTTTTTCTGCCTTTGAATCAATCTTGACTTCTGCTGAGCACCGGGACAAGTCCTTGCATTTTTCTTGGCCACATTTTTTAAAAGTGGCTTCTCATTGCTTGCTTTTTCCTAGGGTTGAGAAAGAGTGACTGGCCCAAGGTCACCCAATTGACTTGATACCCAAAACAAGATTAGAACTCAGGTTCAGGGGTGAAATCCAGCAGGTTCTGACAAGTTCTGGAGAACCGGTAGCGGAAATTTTGTGTAGTTCGGAGAACCGGTAGCAGAAATTTTGAGCAATTCGGAGAACCGGCAAATACCACCTCTGGCTGGCCCCAGAGTGGGGTGGGAATGGAGATTTTGCAATATCCTTCCCCCAGGAGTGGGGAAGGAATGGGGATTTTGCAATATCCTTCCCCTGGAGTGGGGTGGGAATGGAGATTTTGCAGTATCCTTCCCCTGCCACACCTACCAAGCCACACCACGCCCACCAAGCCACGCCCACAGAACTGGTAGTAAAAACATTTGGATTTCACCACTGCTCAGGTTCAATGTTTCTAGTCCAGCACCTTCACCCGTACATCAAACTGGTTCTTGGGTTGAGGAAGAGGGACTGGCCTAAGCTCACTCAGGTGGCTGTCTATCTAAATCAGGACTAAAACTGACAGTT